TTATCTCAAACAATTTTCATAAAACTATGAACGATGTGTATTTATAGAACAATGATAGAGATTCTATTAATGCTCTTTTTTTTAATAAATCGCAATGTGTAATTATTTAACAATTATATAAATATTACATCATTAGTTATTTAATTAACCAAAAAATTAAATCTTCATTAATAAGAATTTAATTCTTAGCCAAAAAAATTATATATAAACTAAGCAAATGTGCATTGCACGTTGCTTAAACCTAGTTTAGTGAAAAATGTGTAATTGAGATGCGATGCATGTATTTAGTGAGGTGGATACAAATATGAGACTAGTAACTTCTAATTATTAGGTGTAATTAGTAAGATTTTTAAAATTGATGGATAATTTCTTCCATTTTCGACTCTTTCCTTCCTAACTATTTATCACATTTAAGCAATTTTTTTCTTTTCAATTTATTTTCTTTTGTATTTAAATAGTTATATTATCTATTATATTATTTAAACGGCCAATTTATATAGTTATATTATCTATTATATTATTTAAACGGCCAATTTATAATGACAACGTTTTATAAGGGCAAAATGGTAAATTTAATGTTTCTCATCAATCTCCACATTTTATTTTTATATATATTGTAATTATAATATAATTTAATATATAAGTAACATTGCTTTTAAGTGAAACTCATGTATTTAAATAATAAATAATATAATATATATACATGTACATATGAAATAATATTTATAATATATTGAAGGGGACATTAATGATAGATTAATTACAATTTAACTTTATGCAGTCTACTTTTATGTATAGAATTCATTTTTCATATTGGAGTACTTATAATTTTATATTAATTAAATTGAATTTAATCACTTAAAATTGAAGCTCGTCTATATGTATAATTATATTGAAACTATAATAAATATTATTTTATATTGTAATTAATCTACTATTATATTAATGCAACCTTTAAAATTACATCTATATATGTGAGTTTCGATTTTAAGTAGTGAACTTAATTTAAAAAATGTAATTTAAGTAATTAAACTTAATTTAATTAATATAAAATTCTAAGTTCTCAAATATAAAACAATGAGCATTATACTTAAATGAATATTAAATGAACTTAAATTATATTAAATGGTACTATACTAAATATATAAAGGTAAAATTAATATTAGTAAAAAATTTCTCCTCAATCCACATGGTAGATGTAGATAATTATTCAAGTTTCTTCTATTCAATTGAGCATCATCAATGATAGTAGAATTATGTTATATGTACCGAATTTTTAATACACGTGGATCGCGCGCAGTATGTGAGAGCGAATAATCCATTATGTATGGACAATTATATACAAATGGATTAACCCATGATATTATTCACCAGATAAATAATGAGGTTTAACCCAAACCCACACCCCGCCCCAAAACCCGAAAACTTGTAAAATCACGCAATTTATGGTCGGTAATGCGCACATATTAATACAGAATTTCGCACACACAAGGGTTCTTCAAGCATTTGGTATGAAAAGTTTAAAAGACGACGTCTCTTCAAAAATCGATCTGAGAAGAAAAGCATTACACATGTATTATCTGTAATTCTGTTCTGTTTTGTTTTGCTACAAATTGAAGAAAAGGAGTAGATTCTAAGTTTCTTGTACGAAGAAAACCCTTTGCCGACGTTTCAGTTTCCTTCACGAGTCGGTACTTTCTCTCTCTGTGGAATCTTTTTCATATATTTGTATTAACATAACTTGTATAGTAGAATATTCAGCTATTTTTCACGATTATGTTTTGTGCATATGGGTATTTACCTAAGTTTTGATCGATCGAGCGAAGATCCACTTGTCGCTGAAAGGATACGGGGTTTTTTTTTTTAAATCTTAAATGTATTTGTTTGTGATATTTTTAGGTTTTTCAGTTATAGTCTTTCTAGAAGGTACTCTACAATCTCGACGACTGATGTGAACTCATCTAATTGTTATGACGTAGTAATTGGCTGTTTTAGTGGTTTTAATTTTTGTAAGATTGGTTTTTCCTTCATACTGGAAGGATTTTTGCTTTATCTTTACATCATATATTTGCTATTATTGATTGGCTTGTTAGATATGCTTTATTTTGGATATTAGCGCTAATTTTCTGTATATCTGTTTCTTTTGTTCCTTTATTTACATTATTCACAATGTGCTACAATAGAATTGTTTTTCTGCATTGGAATATTAATGAATTGTATACAGAAATAAAAAACAGAAGCTTTTTTTCACCTGCAATGTAGATTTGTTGTGTAATTTTACAGAGCGGGATATTGATTCTTCTATTTGTTTAGTTGGTGGAATTTGATATACATTATAGATTTTGAGAGGATATACTGAGATCAAAGTAGCCGAATTTAAGTGTGTAAAGGGTTGTTAAGTGTTTCAGTTAGTTTGTGTTTTTAAGTTAGGGTTGTAAAGTGTTTCAGTTAGTTTGTATTTTTAAACTAGGGTCGTGAAATGTTTCGGTTAATTTGTATTTTTCAAGTTTTAGCTGCCATATTGAAGAGAGATCATTGGGATGGATGGATTTTAAGTTTATGAGCTATGCTGAAAGAGAAAGCTTTTCCACACCCTCATACTTATATTGTAATCTGTTTCCTGCTTCAGGGGTTTGTAAAAATGGCTCTAATGTTTTTTATTTTTTCACTTTACGTCCCCTGGTTTCAAGATTTTCTTTGCATATTAGTCCTTTTTCGTTTGGATTTCGTACCACACATCCAGATTATTTATATTACTGTTTATGGCCTCAGTTTGTACTGGTGCTGTTATTATTTTATAACGTGGCGACTTACAGACTTTTCAATGGAACGAGATGGGGACAATGATGTTGCTGGAAGCATCCCTGAGTTTGGTGCAATTTTCATGTCAAATATTGCAACAAAGAAGGAGTGCTTCAAACGTAAGGTTTTTGGCCTGCCATCTTCCTTGGCTGAATTTGTAAGAAAGGTTAAAGCTGGAATGATTTTATTCCTGTTTGAATATGAGAAGAGAGAACTTTTTGGAGTTTATCAGGCCTGTTCTGATGGTGCAATGGATATTGTACCCCACTTGTGTAATAATTTAGGAATGAAATTCCCTGCACAGGTATGTTTCTTATTATAGTGGTTCATTCTTATGTGGGAGTGGATTGTGAAAATGCGTTGCATTAGACTAAGACAAGGATACAACACAATGATATATGCAATTTTTCTTTTGTTTTGTATTCTTACGTTTTCTTATCCAGGTCCATTTTAGGCCAATATGGTACTGTAATCCACTTTCTGAAAAAGATTTTCGAGACGCTATCTACGATAATTACTATTCAGCAAAGAAATTCAACTTTGGTCTGTCCGAAGATCAGGTTTGATAAGTGTTGCACTCTATGATATTGACCTCTGGAGGAAAAGGAAAATGGCTTAAAGTTCTGCTTCTATTTTTCCTCCTCTGAATGTAGGTTCACAGGCTAGTATTTTTATTCAGTTCAAGAAAGTTGAAAAACAAACTTCCACGTCAGCCATTAACAAAATTAGTCAACAAAGCAGTTGGTGAAGAAAGAAGATTGATAGATGATGACCGCTTTGCATTAGTTAAGAAAGCAGATATGCGACGTAGTAAAGAAGATTTTATTGAGCCAGGCATGTCTGGTGATTACCTAGGGAACTTGCTGAATAGATCCAAAGAACCAAAAGATGACGAATTCAATTCTGTGGCTCATGGCTCATTGACCGGTTACGCTAGTGAATGTCTAGATAGAAGAGCAGATAATGATGGCAGGTTATTGAGGAATGATCTGCTGAAAAATAGACTCCACGATGATCGTGGCACCTTGGGGTCCTTCCGCTTTGGTAGTCCAGAGGATACATTTGATGAAGTGAGGAGATTAGCTGATGGTGGCCGGTTATTAACAGGTGAGGTGGTAAATGATAAATTTCGAGTGGATAGTGATCTTGATTCTATCCACTTCAAAGAGTATCCTGTGGGCCTGTTAGATATGAAAGCGGATGATGACGACAAGATTAATGTGAGGAATAGGACTGTGGGTGCATATGACACGGACGATCGTTTTGGATCAGCATTTTCAACTGAGCACCATGGGAAGGTTTTGTACAGTAGCAGACTTGGCATCAATGGTGACAGGTTTTTGATTGGTGATCATGGAGAAAAAGAATACAATCACCATCATACTATTGAACCTGTTGGCTCTAATGTTGGTAACCTAGATGAAAGATTAGAGAATAGACACGGCATGGATTGTATTAGCAGCCCTGATAGTGCATCTGAAAGCCTTGGCTCTCTGCATAAAATAAGAAAAGCAACTGGAGATCGTTGGTTTGCTATGAATGAAAGAATAGGGAGCGGGGCTAATTTGGGTTCTCATTTGGGGCGAGGCTTCTCAACTGAAAATTTTGGGAACCCTTTGAACTCCGGTATCAGGACTATCAATAATGCAAAGATTTCAAAAAGTGAAGGTAGAGTATCTGACAATATTGTGGACAGCATTCGTTTCTCAACCACCCTAAACAAGAACTCCGGATATGTCACAAATGTAGGTGGTCGAATGTCTGATGATGGTAGGTTCAGAAATGACAATCAGGTAGAAATTGGACAAGCGATTGACACTTTTGCTAGACCTGTCTTCTCGACCAAGTTTACTTCTTTGTCTAAGATGAAGCAGAACTCACTCGTCTACCCCAACTCTCCTCACTCAACACATCATGATACAACTGATGTCCCTTATATTCCAGAACTTACCAGGAGCCCTCATCAACGCTTCTCTTCTTTTGCAGCCAATGGGAAATCTAGTTCAGTGCAAGAAACTCCTTGTCATGGGTCGGGAGGGAATCACTACTTTTTATCTAAAAGCGGGTCACCCGCATATGGCTTAGAGGCAGAAGGGTCAAGCAGACATCTGGATGTTGCATCAGCGTACGGAAATAAAGCTGTATTGCCAGCTATATCAGATCATCCTAGTCAATATTTCTTAAATGCAGACTTGTCTAATCACGTGGATATGAATTCCTCTGCATACCTTGATTATAGAATTTCATCTTTTCCAAACCCTTCTTCAGCTTCCCTGCCTGCCTTGAGGAGTGAAATTTTTGAACAAGATAAAGGATCGGGCTCTTATACGTTAAACTCCATGGAGGATCCTAATTCTGGAAAGAGTGGAAATTTTTCTTTGACGTCAGGAGGCATGTGTCAGCGCATCATTTATCCTGAGGTTGACAAAACTTTAGCTGGCCAAGATTTTCCTTATTCTGATAAACAAGATTCAAGTTTAGACATGTACCACCATGAAGAAGATTCTTTGAATTGTGACAAGGACTTCAAAAGCTCGAAAGAAAATATTATCAGTTATGAGGAGCACCATAGGCATTCAAAAGCTCCAAGTAAAGATTCAAATAGCAATAGACGAAGTGTTTTTACTCGCTTAACTTCAGGTCCTGTAGCCCAGGTCCAAGAAGAAGAAGAAAACAATAATTATGTTTATTATGATGAATGTTATATGGATTCATCGGTTAATGAAGTCATGGGCTTGTTGCATCAGGGTCTCAACAATAGGGTGAGAGAGGGGAAAAAGCTGAAGAGATGCAAACCATTTCATAGTGGATGTAATTATGAAAGTGGTTTGGATGAGAGACGAGCCTTTGTTGATAGTAATATAGAGGTTGATCAGTCAATGACAGCAAGATATGTGAAGGATGTATATGGAGCCATTGATGAGAATATCAATGAAGTGCTGAAAGAGACAAGGGCAGTGGATTTCAAGCGTCGGAGTGAAACAAAGAGAATATTGATAGAAACTAGCACTAAGTCAAATCCTTCAGTAGCAGAAGGTATGATTTCTCTAATGGATGCAGAGGTTGACAGCTTGGCTCATAAATCATGCAAGCGTAGGAAGTTGGTAAGACCTATCTTTACTAAAAATGATTCAGTTGATGAAGGTGTAGTTAGTAATCCAAGTGACAATTGTGAGACTGTTCTTAATGCGCCTGAAGCCAAAGAAGCCAAAATGCTCAATCCCGATACCGAGTTGAGCAATATGATATCAAAAAGAAGTCATGAACTTGGTGATGCTAACATAACAAGTTCATTCAAATCTAAAGGCCCCAAAATTTTGAAGATTGGGAGATTCTCATCCAGAAGCCACAAGCTTGAAGAAGGAAAGGAAACATCAAATGTCCCAAGGAACAACTAAACTATAGAGGATAGCTTGGGAGCAAATATTAGTTGAAAGTGTTTTGTGCAGAGGCATTGAAATAACTGGTTGTGGCTTGAACCTGGAGGAATCACATACTCTTTAAGAATCTGAAGAAAGAAGTTGAAAAGTAAAATGTAAAAAGATATTGAGAACTAGAACTCAGATATTGAGGATTGCATTGAAGAAGAGCTTATGTTTCTTTGTTCCCCTGTAATAGCTGCTAGTTTTCTCTTTGCTTCCTGTAATGGTTACTGTTTGATTCAGTTAGTTGTCAATCACTGGAAAATTTGGCTAACGAATGAATCTTACCCGATCTGTTAAAAATATAGTCCGTTTATATTTTTGTATTTGAAATCCTTCCTGCACGTTGAATGTGCTCTTTTTTAAGTAATTTGTATTTTGCTGCGATTTCTTGGAGAAAATTGTGGACAGATGAACAAGAAGACAGTTTCTCTATTGCATAATGTACTTATTTTTTCTTCAAACGGATGGGAGAACAAGAAAGGAAACTATATTATTTGGATTCATAGTGTGAAATAATATTTTGACATTAATGAATGGTTTACAAGAATCAAATAACTTTATCAACAAATTTGTTAATTCTTTTTATAACCATATATCTTTTATCAATAAATTGGTTCTTGAATTTTGTATGGAACTTGCATGTACGGTGACGAATTCATTAGATGGATAATTAAGACAATATATATAAATTTTATCTCTGTCGGAAAGAAAGAAAAACGCAATGAGGATGATATGCCTTGTGTTGAGAATATTGTACGTTTATGATAAACAATTATTTCGGATGATTAAACACATCATACATCTTATTTAAAATGTCATTTTATATAAAGTTTCTCTTCGTCAAACACTTAAATAGATGTCACAACTATGTTCATTATTAGGAAAAGATGTAAAGGCTAAGGAACCCGATGAATGACTAGAGATTAAGCTCTTGTTTGACAATCAATATTTCAAAACTCTTTAATTCTCGTACTCATTTTGAAATCTCACATTTACAATTTTACAAAATAAAATATTTTACACTTAAATTTTAATTTTTTTTTCTACTTTGTAACACCACGTTTATTTAAAAAATCAGCATTTAAAATTTCATTTTCTCGAAATAAAGAGATGGCATCGTGGACACAATAATTAGCTGAAAGATGGAAATAGAATCAATCATTATATAACTTCACTGTGAACCAGGATTTATTAGGGATAATTAAAGTCAACCTATTGAACCTCAATATATTATTTTGCGGCTGCAGACCCCAATCTTTGAATTTTATAGCACTTGACTCCCTATTGAATTGGATAAGTTTACCCTTTCCTTTGATTTAAAACTCAAAAGACATTTTTATACCAATCATTCTACGTGTATATTTATTTTGAAATCATTTTTTATATTATCCCACGCGTCGAAGCATAATTGGACAATTTTAATAAATCATATTGGAGCCTCCACTTTCTAAAAGTATAATAATAAAGAAACTGGTATGATTTTGATTAAAATACAGTAGTAGCAGAGTAGACCTGGCTACAGGCGTGAGAGTAACGAGATATTCACGATCTTTTTAATCTCCGAACAACACACAGTACCCACCGTATACGCAGCATTTGGATTAAAGAAACTGAATCATCCCTTACTCTGTTTTAAGGTAAATAAATACACCCACTTTAACTCTGATCAAATTTTCTGTCTTTGCTGTTTTATGGGTTTTGTTTTTTGATTTTCGAAGCAATGGGTTTGATGAGATCTCTAATAACAGTCTGGAATTTTTGGAAGATTCAATTTAACTTTAACTATGCTAAGAATTTACAGAAGAAAATGATGGTCTTATTTTTGTTGCATCTTTTTAAGAACTCGATATCTCAACTGTTTCTATGCTTGAATCTATGAAGAGTGGTAACGCCTTCAAAGAAAGCCTATTTGAGACTATGGCGCGGGTTTGGATCAGAACCCGATGACGTAGGTTCAAATCCTACAGATCTAGGGGCTGCAGATGGATAGGGGAAGGAAAGAAAAGAAAGATGGTCGCTCATGAATTTAAAAGGAGGGGTAAAACTGTTGAGATAGTTTCAGATGCACTGAAAATGATTGTTAAATTTTCTGAAAGAGATAAGCAGAAATATAAACAATGAAGATGATGTCTTAATGGGCTTCAAATCTCAACTTTCAAGTAAACGAAATTAAATTTAGTTTTACCAGATCATACTTATAATGTGAATATAGGACGGAATACAACGTTATGCTACAACTATCGAACTGCTGCCAGGGACGTAACTAGAATTTCAATCTTGTGAGACAGGGGGTGGACCCCCCTCCCGGGGGTTCGGGGGTGGAGTCCCCGAATTTTTTTTTTTTTTAACTAAAAGGATTAAAAATGATGATTTTGAGTACCAAAATACCTGACCAAAAAGACAATCAGTTTGTCGATACAAAAACATGTCTATCTATGTGTCTGACGTTATACAAATTGAAAAGATGAACGTTAGATGGGCTGTGGCCTGTGGGCATGTTTTTGGATAATTGATTCATAAATGGGTCCTTTACTTTTGGATTGAATTTTGGCTATTTATTTATTTAAGTAACGATTGGATCTTCTGTTTAGATCTAAGACTTTTGTATGGTTATTGGGTCAATATTTAAGTATGATTTTTGTATGGTTTTGGATTGGATTTGGGCTTTTGTTGAATTTTAAAGTGTAAGTTATTGGGTCAATATTTAAGTATGATTTTTGTATGGTTTTGGATTGGATTTGGGCTTTTGTTGAATTTTAAAGTGTAAGTTATTGGGTCAATATTTATTAATGAAAAAAAATTTCAAAATTTTGAGGGGGCGAGTCAAAATTTTTGCGGGGGCGAAACTGAAAAATACATTACAAATTAACTAGGAATAGTGGACCGGCGGACAATGTTGGAGGGCGACCAAGGGGCAGTCGCCCCCCCTCCTATCTTCGTCTCTGACTGCTACATTCACACTCCCTATCTTGAAGAAAGTATCGTACGCTAGCATGAACATGTGAATTGCAGTTTTCCATATTCATGAATATTGGACTCGGAATTACGATCTCGTATATTCGATGCATGATCATGTCCGATTCCGAAGCATAAGATTGCATTCTCCTGCATGGCATTGTTTAGCTTCATATATTGAATGCTGGAAGGATGGAAGTGTTCTAATATATAAGAATCATTTCATTAGCAAACTATTCGAATGGCTCATTCAGCTCTGGATGAGATGTCAACAGCTGGTGCTTTCGTTAGAACTCCTTCCACTTTTCGTAATACCATTTCAAGAGATCCCAATTCTCCATTTCCCGCAGAAGCTGGAAGGTATCACTTGTATATATCATATGCTTGTCCGTGGGCATCTAGGTGCCTTGCATACCTGAAGATCAAAGGACTCGACAATGCAATCAGTTTCACTGTAAATCTCATACTTCAAACTACTACTTTTTATATAATTATCACTTTCTATCAATTATTTATTTTCTTTTTCGTATTAGTCAGTCAAGCCCATATGGGGAAGGACAAAGGATACGGATGATCACATGGGATGGGTCTTTCCAACTTCTAGTACAGAGGAACCGGGAGCTGATCCCGACCCTTTAAATGGTGCCAAAAGTATAAGAGAACTGTACGAGATTGCAAGCAAGAATTACTCGGGAAAATATACAGTTCCTGTATGTGTTACCTATAGAAGTGAATTTTTCTCTTAGTTATTTTCAGATTTATGTTAATTTATGCAATCTGTTATGCTTTATTATAGGTGCTTTGGGATAAGAAGCTGAAAACAGTCGTAAACAATGAGAGCTCAGATATAATTCGCATGTTTAATACTGAATTCAATCATATTGCTGAGAATGCAGCTCTTGACCTTTATCCTCCTCACTTGCAAGCACAAATCAATGAAGTGAATGAGTGGATATATGATGGGATTAATAATGGTGTCTATAGATGCGGGTTTGCTAAGAAACAGGAACCTTACGAAGAGGTAAATACTTCTTCATGCCTAAAGTTCCCAAGAGGCCTTTGGCCATTGCACTTTTCAGTAGTTGCCAGGAAACAATGTGGGTTCTGTCTGGCTTTGATCCATCGATCCCGGCTCAAAAAATTATTTCCTTTTTTTCCTTTTTCTTTTGTAGGCAGTTACAAAACTGTATGAAGCTCTAAACAGATGCGAGGAGATTCTCAGCAAGCAGCGATATTTGTGTGGAGACACACTAACTGAAGCAGATATTCGCTTGTTTGTGACCCTTATAAGATTTGACGAGGTACGGATATTTTCTATTTTAGTGTAACGCTTAATGCCGAAGTAAGATTTTATCCATTTTAGTTCAAACAATATATAGATTGTTGTGATATGACCCCTTTGCGAAGGACCTTACTGAAAAAGTGACTCCAACTTAAAATATAAACTAGTACTTCATTGTTAGAGCTCTACCAAAATGCGGAAGTTAACTAATATTCGAATAAAATCTTCTTCCGTTACAGGTCTATGCGGTTCACTTCAAATGCAACAAGAAGTTACTACGTGAATTTCCAAATCTGTTCAATTACATGAAAGACATATTCCAAATCCCTGGTGTAAGCAGCACAGTCAACATGGAACACATTAAGAGGCATTATTATGGAAGCCATCCTTCTATCAATCCGTTTGGAATCATCCCTCATGGTCCAAGTATCGACTACTCTGCTCCACACGACCGGGAGCGGTTTTCGAAATAGGGTGCATGTAAAACATCTGCAGTTTCACTGTCATATGAAGTGTGCTAGCCCTTTTCTATTGTTTACCAGAACAAAACTGTGTGTTACAAAAACTTGGTTAGTATCCAAGAATGCTTTAAATAAGGTTAGCACCATACTGGCCTCGAAACTGTTCCATCACCATAAACATTATGTACTTTGTGCTTACTTTAATCTGGATTGATATTCTAGTTTTGTTTTACTTATCGTATTCTTCATAGAAATATAGCACGATCATATGTAAAAAGTGAGTTAATTTATTCAAGAAAAAAATTAGTAACATGAGAAATATTAATTGTCAACATGAAACAAGAATTGACGATGTGTAATTGATTAGCGATGATAGATTCTAAATCCTAGTGACTAGTGCCTTTATCAACTAGGTTTATCTTAAGAATTACTTGCTTCTTAATTACTTATTTTAGTTAATAATTAAGATGAACAAACTCAAAATCTTTGCATCTGTATGTTTCCAACTAAAGCTAGTTTTGATTATAGTTAATAAGTAATCCTCGCCAATATACTTTATAAATCATTATATTATTTATATGATTATACCATTCAATTTTAGGATTATATCACAGCAAGTTTTCGACTACAATATGACAAATGATTGTTCATCTTTTTCGGGGTCAATACTTAAAAATACATATTCAACACCTTAACTCTCTTCTTTTTTCCCTTTTGACTCTTATCATTGCTAAATACCCTCTTTCCAACTTGGGCGTTATAACAAATAAATGTTCTGCAATAAATTCCCTAACTCTCTGGCCCTTGATGTAGATTTGATATCCAGGAACTGTTGAACATACACAAATGTGCATCCCCACACCAACAGCAAAGTCGAACAACATATTTTGTTGCCAAGACTGTATAGATACAAGGCAGTGAAGAAGGAATACCTGGAGCTTTTTACAGATGATATTCATATATCACGTTCCAGTACTGTACATACACGAACCATACGTGACAGTTATATATAAAGGTTGCCTATTTTCCCATGTTCAGTAACATAGAACAACGATAGTAAAGGTTTTTTATGCCCTTGCTGAGATAGACATGCCCTTTAACTCAACATGCTTCTTATCATCGTGTTGGGGGTGAACAGTAATAGTGGCATGGGCCTCTTCCTGCAAGGATTTATCACCTCCAACACAAGAGATGGATATTGAACCCACGAAAGGATTTTTCTCAACTATATTGTCTTGTTCTTGGTCTTCTTGGTTTTCCCCAATAATTTCCCAATCCTCTTTGACCGAAGTTACTTGCAAGCCACTTCTTGCATTGTGACTTTCAACTTCAATCAAGGTAGGTAGAATTACAAAATCATTAACTGGATTGTAATAAGGATCATGGTCCGCCATCAGCCAGTGCTTGAGAATTCTGAACACGTGAGGATCACAAAGAATTCCACGGTGATCTCCAGGGACTCCAACCCTTGCTTCTGCTTGAAGCCCGTCTGCCTGGAAAAAAAATGGTCAATAGAGAAAACCAAGTCATTGCTGGTTCAGTTTCGAAACGTCAAATTTTCAACCGTACACTATTATTGTTTTGAATGAATTTGCAACCATGCTTGTAATGTTTTTTAAAAAGATATTGATTTTAAAATTAATTTTAGGTAGTAAAGAAAGGGAATAATGTATGAAATTTAAAGGAAGTATTGCCCTGCAGCCGTTGAGAAGTGAAGAAAAGAGTGGAGAACGTTCAGAAACTGGAATAAAAATTGCTACTAAAATTTTCTGTGTCGAAAATTGTAAAAGCATACCACCCCAGCCAGAATGATTATATCTATGTTTTATGCGAAAAGCTAATCACCTCATCCAAACATACTCCCTGATCTTTAATCAGTTCACATGCTTACTTCTAATACGCCATTTATTTCGCAACTGTTGCTTTCTATTTTGGGATCCGGATATCCCAAAAATTTGGTCCATTCTGAACGGTCAAACTAGATTATATTTTTCATTACAGTTCAAATGTTTCTTTGTGTATACAATTTCCCCTCACCCACACAAAAGACATTAAAATTATGCAATCATCATTGTTTCATACATGTAAGGTTTGGAATTTGATAAAGGGGTGAAATAAAAATACCAAAAAGGTCACCTGTCATAACACTGAACAGTAAACATAACAAGTGAGTGTTCTAAACCAAAGCTGTAAGTGTTATTGGGTCATAACACTATACATAAAAGTGAGTTCTCAAAAATAAGCTGAAGTTATGGATAGAAGAAGTAACGAAATACAGATAAAATTATATTTTGAACTCAAAAAGAATTCATGCAACAAATATGAAACGAAGTACCTTAGCAGATTCCACTGGAACAGTTCCATCACCATCAACATTTATGTACTTGGCCTGACATGTGCAAAAACAGTATTCAGAACATTTCTTACAACCTAAGTTTCAAATGTTACAGAAATATCATACAATATGCAAAACAAATTCTAACTGGTAAAACGGAAACACAGATAAAAAATAAATAAAAATGCATGAAGTTCTGAAGAAGTGTGCTGTATATTTATTTTAAGGTTCATTTAATAGATGTACCAGGAGAGCAGGTAACTGTTGCAGGTCAGATACAGGTGCATCCTCACTTCCATAACTGCAAAAGAGTATTAGCATTTCATATGAGTTCACATGTTGATATGCTTTGAATGTTTTAATATATTGCAGAATTCCAATCAATTCATGAGCATAAACTTTTAAGTTAAAGCAGTACCAAACACTATGTGGTGTCTCATTATTTGTCCCATAAATATTGTAGAACTTAACGTGTTTGGGAACCTTAGCACAGCTCAACAATTTTTGTGTTTCGTTAGCCCACTTCAAAACCTCCAAGTTGAATGGTAAAGAAATATCAGTACCATCATAATTAACCTGCAAGTACACCACTGTCTATTTAAGACACTTGGAAAGAAGTATCATTGCAATAGTAAGTCATGCATTAGAAAATCACATTTTAATATGCCAATCAATAGTGAACTGCCAGACAATGTCAAAAATATTTGGTTATACTTTGGTTTTCAACTTTTTCTAAACAATAAGAAAATCCTGGAATTATTATACAGTTATTCATCAAGAGAAGGAAAATTACTAGTAATGACATTCTGATACTCCGATGAATTCAACACCAAAATGTGTCTTATCATGACATTTATGAACTTCACAAAAATAAAAAGAAAAAGAAAAAGAAAAAATCACAGTCACGATAAGGATTCTCTAGTACCCAATAAATCAAGGATCAACAGGTTTTTATTTATCTATATTTGGCATAATTTGCGTTCATAGCTCACCTTGTTGCTTGAAAGAGCCTCTATAAATATTGATACAGCTTCTATTGGAGGATAAGATTCTAGCATTATGGTAGAATTTCCATCACTATCAGACTTCTTCCTCCAGATTTCCAGAAGTGGAATGTGTTCCCAAGGGAAATCTAGACAGGCCATCAATTCGTATATTGATGGGCATTCAATCAGCTGGAAAGAAATTGGCAAAGAAAAATGTGAGTGTGTAACACATAAAGTGAAGTTGATGATTTCTAATCGATACAATGCCATTTATCTTTAGTTAAAAAATACAACACAACTTGAGACAGGAAAAAACACAGTTTCAAATAACTGGACTATATAACACCTTGATAGTTTTGCGACTCATAATTTTCATGAAACAGGATTTCTAATGAGATTAGAAGTAAATTAAAAACTACACAACTCAAGAAGTATAGCTTATGATGACGACGCTCATTTGAAGATAGCCACTTCCATCAAGGAAGAGGGAATGGAGTGGTTAATAAATTCTAAGATCTTACATCAGTAACAGAAGAGGAAGGGGGTGGAGAGAGAGAGAGAGAGAGAGAGAGAGAACACTGCAAACAGGAAATCGCTGTGAGCAGCAATTATCTTCATACCATCTGGTGCATGCTCCATTTTGATATAAAAAAATTCTGTTTCCATCCTTCCACAAATGATGCTCCATTCAAAAGTGTAGAGGTAATATATCCTGGTGCACCTGTTAAAATAACAACAATCCCATTACTTTTATAAGTCATTCATCAAAAGTTTGAAATGTATAAATACAGTGATGCCGAACACCACATAGATATGAGTCTTGTTCCAGTTATGCAACAGAAAAAAGGTTTATATAATGAATTAAATGAAGCATGGATAGTCCAACTTATACCCTATCCAATAATTTTGCTGAATTTCAAAAAAATCCACTTTTTATGTAAGGTGTTATACAAATAACATTGAATTGTATTTCAATTTCTGAGCCTTTGTTAAATTCAGATTTTTAAACATGTAATAAAGTAATGACAGCTTATGTTATAATTGTTAACTTTACAGCTGAGTGTAACAGGAAGTATGATACAAGAGTTTTGTCCTTTGAAATAAAGCTTGTTTTCTTTCCTCTTGGAACACAAAGCGGTTAGTGTAGCAACAACTAAGGGATGGTGGGACTACAATACATGTGCAACTACGATTATAGAATATTCTGAGGAAATATAACTTAAATAGACAGTAATAACAATATTAATCAAGATAAATAGAAATCTTTCAAGCTCAAGTTAGAGTTCTTGCAAAGTTTTCTTATCCTGATGAACAAACATGATAAAATTGGATTTTTGTCATCTTTCTGTACAGAAGGATTTCTTTAACATCTCTTGGTACAATTGCAAACATGAAAACTGCCTGCACATTTGCTATGTAACCTACAACTAAATAGAAGCCTCATTCAAAGATTTCTTGAGAGAATAAAAGGAGGAAATATACTCTGCATGCCAGTAATATATTGTTAAAACAGAAACGGATAAATAGCAGCATTTTATAATATATTCATAGCTTACTTCAGACTATATATTGATAGTTTGGAAAAACTGAGCATTTTTAAGTTGTACGAACAACCACAGCTAGATGATTTCTAGTTATTTGTACAAAGACCTAAGTCTAGAAGCAAAAATTGGTCAGCAGCAGCCCCCTAGCAACATTAGATAGAGTAACAATTCAACATACCACGGAATGGTGCAGCTATTGCAATCCAATTCTTCACATACTTCTCAAAAATCTGCAGAATTATGGAAGAGATTTTCCCATGAGAAAAAAAATACGGAAGTTAATACTGAAGTCAGAGTACACTAGAAGTAGGGACAGATTTAGGAGGGACTGAGCCTGGCTGTAGCCCCGGTCCAGTCTCCGGCCTGTTAATAATTTTTAGTGTAAAAAAAAAAAAAAAAGTTCTCCTGTAATTTTTTTTTTTTTTAATGTGTAAATATAATTTTTCTATGTATTAGCCCGACTTGTAATCTGATACTGAATCCGTCTCTGACTAGAAGTCTAGATGGACATGGGAGTGAAAAGGTGAAGGTAAGAAAAGCAAAATAAGCCAAAGAGTTGAAGTATCACATCACTATGCAGGCTCATGAAACATTTAACAAGAAGACCGCCCATGGAATGACTTATGATGTTGATTTTTCTTCCCCCAGATGCGGTATACACTGACTCAAGCTTCACTGCTAGGCCCTCCATTGTTTCTTGAAACCTGGAATGCAGAAGTAGTTCTAAAAATATCAAGAATGGGCAAACAATCACACCTTCAGCAGGAACACACATACTGTGCAAGTGAAGGTATAATGGGAATGGGAACAAAAATTTATTTCTTTACCCAGATGATATCGAAATTGAAACAAAAGCTACTAGCTTTTTGTCAGGTATATGAAATTCAATAATTCTTACTCAACCAATATTACAAAATCATGTTGGGAGTTTACGACATGTTACAGATCTACAATTTTGTGGGGAGGTTCTACTCCTCTTCTCATAAAGAAGACTTTAATAATAGTAACAAATGGTACATTTGTACCCTAGGACTGTCATTCATAATCTCAGAATTGTGCAATGTGCAAATTTCTCAAATAGTATGTCAGTTACCGATTGCTTTGGCGGAAATCATATCCAAATCCAAAGAGAGTTGTTCCCTCTTGATAGCCCCACTTGAGCATTTCAACTATCATGTCATGAAAATAATATACACAATCAGTCCCAAGAA